CTCCTCCTCCTCCTCCTTCACCCACATCTTCGTCTGCATCCTCCCCGTGCCCGGCCGGGTGCCTGGGTGCCCGGGTGCCAGGGTGTAGGTCTGGGTGTCGGGGTGTCCGGGTGCCCGGGTGCCCGGACGCCCGGGTGTTGGGGCGTCCGGGTGCCCGGGTGCCCGGGTGCCGCCTGGGTGTCCGGGCGTCCGGGCGTCCGGGTGCCCGGGTGCCCGGGTGTCCGGGTGCCCGGGTGCCCGGGTGCGTGGGTGTCCGGGTGTCCGGGTGTCCGGGCGTCCGGGCGTCCGCGCGTCCGGGGCCCGGGCGTCCGGGCGTCCGGGCGTCCGGGCGTCTGGGTGCCCCGGTGTCCGGGTGTCCGGGTGTCCGGGTGACCGGGTGTCCGGGTGTCCGGGTGTCCGGGTGTCCGGGCGTCCGGGCGTCCGGGCGTCCGGGCGTCCGGGTGCCCGGGTGTCCGTGTGTCCGGGTGTCCGGGTGTGTCCGGGCGTCCGGGCGTCCGGGTGTCCGGGTGCCCGGGTGTCCGGGTGTCTGGGTGTCCGGGTGCCCGGGTGTCCGGGCGTCCGGGTGCCCGGGTGTCCGGGTGTCCCGGGTGTGCCTGGGCGGTGTCCGGGTGCCCGCCCGGTGTCCAGGTGTCCCCCGGGTGTCCGGGTCCTGGGGTGTCCGGGTGTCCGGGTGTCCGGGTGTCCGGGTGTCCGGGTGTCCGGGTGTCCGGGTGTCCGGGTGCCCGGGTGCCCGGGTGTCCGGGTGTCCCGGGTGTCCGGGTGCCCGGCGGACGCCCGGGCGGAGGAATAGTCAGATTGTGGAGAGAGAGAGAGAGAGAGAGAGCAAGAGAGAGAGAGAGAGAGGAAGCGAGAGAGGAGAGAGGAGAGAGAGAGAGAGAGAGGAGAGAGAGAGAGAGAAAGAGGGGAGTTGAGAGAGGAGACAGGCGAGAGAAAGATAGAGAGAGAGAAGAGAGAGAGAGAGAGAGAGAGAGAGAGAGAGAGAGAGAGAGAGAGAGAGAGAGAGAGAGAGAGAGAGAGAGAGAGAAGAGAGAGAGAGAGAGAGAGAGAGAGAGAGAGAGAGAGAGAGCGGGAGAGAGCGAGAGAGAGAGAGAGAGAGCAGAGAGAGAGAGAGAGAGCGGGAGAGAGCGAGGGAGAGCGAGAGAGAGCGAGAGAGAGCGAGTGAGAGCGAGAGAGAGAGAGAGAGAGCGAGAGAGAGCGACAGAGAGCGAGAGAGAGCAAGAGAGAGCGAGAGAGCGAAAGAGAGAGAGAGAGAGAAGAGAGAGAGAGAGAGATAGAGAGAGAAAGAGAGAGAGAGAGAGATAGAGAGAGAGAGAAGAGAAGAGAAGAGAAGAGAGAGAGCGAGAGAGAGAGAGAGAGGGAGAGTGAGAGAGAGAGGAGAGAGCAGAGAGAGAATAGAGAGAAGAGAGAGAGGAGAGAGAGAGAGAGAGGCAGAGATAGAGGCAGAGAGAGAGAGGCACAGAGAGAGAGGCAGAGAGAGAGAGAGGCAGAGAGAGAGAGGCAGAGAGAGAGGCAGAGAGAGAGAGAGGCAGGGAAAGAGAGGCAGAGACAGAGAGAGGGCAGAGAGAGAGAGACAGAGAGAGCAGAGAGAGCAGAGAGAGAGGCAGCTCAGTCACACTTAAATCCAGATTCGTCCTCACCGAGTCCCACCACCAAGGGAGCGCCAGCAAGGATATGCTAACGGAGTTCCCCACATAAAGAGATTACTGTAACGGTTTCGTGGGACCCATTTTCTTGATGCCCTCCTCGCGACGCTGGAGGGGTGGGAGGGGCACGAAACCATGTAAATAGTATGGTTTTCCGATACCCTCCTCGCTCAGGCTGGGCCTGCCTGGAGGGGTGGGAGGGGCACGAAACCATGTAAATAGTATGGTTTTCGGATACCCTCCTCGCTCAGGCGGGGCCTCGGAACATGCGCGCTGGAAAAAAACGTAGGGGGGGGAGTCGGGACGGGGGAGAAGTTGCCGAAGGGGAAGGAGCCCGCATCGCAAGGAGGGGTTAGCCTTCCCAAGGGTGCCCTTGCATCCCTGCCTCCCCTGTCCCCCATCCCCGGCCGCTCTCCTTGGCCGCGCCCCGCTCGAGGGGCTGCGGGCTGGGCGTCCGAGGCCCCTTTCGTCCTCATCGTGCGTCCTTCTGATACGGGCCGACTGCATGTCCCGGAGCGCACACAAGCCCTAACGATACTCACGGCGCGCGTGAAGCGTGCGGCCGTCGTTGAGGCGAGAGGCGGCGAGGCGAGTGCCTCGTCGTCGTCGCCGCCGCCGCCGCCGCCCTCGCGGCCAGCGACGTACCCATCTCGAGATGGGGACCCTCAGGTCTGTCGTCCTTCGTTTGACGGGTCAACTGTCCACCACCACTACCAGAAGTAGGACGTGGAGAAGGGAAGATGGGGAGGTCCTCCGCCTCCTCCTCCTCCTCCTCCTCCTCCTCCTCCTCCTCTTCCCTCGCCTACCTATGGTAGTGGTGGTGGAAAATCGGCCCATCATCTTTCGCCGTCTGGGGCGCTCTCGCCGTGACGGCTGAATTTCTCACACCGGTCTGGCTAGAGCGCACCCCCAGGAGAGGTCCGGGCGGGCGACTTTGAGAGGTGCTGTCGGACGGGGATAACTCCGCTCCGGAGCGTCCCGGAACGCTCGCTCCGAGAAGGCCGCGGCGCTCGAGAGATCCTCCAAAGCCGCCTGATCTCGGAGATTCTCGATTCATCCCGCCCGACATTCTATTCGCCCCAGCTTCGTCTCGCGTGCCGCCAGCTGCCCTCCCTCCTTCCTCTCTCTCTCTCTCTCTTCCCCTCTCCGCCCCTCTGGACACAAAGGGGCCGCCTCCACGCTCTCCCCCCCTCCCGATGCCCCCTCTCCCTCCCTCCCTCTCTCCCCCCTCCCTCTCTCCCCCCCCGATGCCCCCCTCCTCCCCCCCCCCCCCCCCTCCCCCCTCCCCCCCCCCCTCTCTCCCCCCACCCTCTCTCCTCCTCGCCCCTCCTGCCCACCCCCCCTCCCTCCTCTCCTCCTCGCCCCCCCCCCCCCCCCCCCTCCTCGCCCCTCCCCCCCCTCCCCTCCCCCCCCCCCCTCTCCTCCTCGCTCCTCCTGCCCCCCCCCCCCTCCCCCCCTCTGTGCTCCTGCCTCTCCTCCCCGCCCGCTCCCGCCGCCGCAGCCCTTTCTGGCGCAGGGGCCCCCGGGATCTCCCCACTTTTTGTGCCTCGGAGGGGCGCGCCGCGCTGGCGTCCGAGTCGTCCCCGGGATGGCGTGCGGCCACGGGAAGGCGGCGTCAGTCTCAAGTCGGGCGTGCTCCCCCTGCAGGGGGATCTTCGAGGAAAAATTCAAGATAACCCCAAAAATAGTCAAACGATGATCCAAAAATAGTCTGGGAATATCCCCAAAATAGTCAAACAAATCGTCGGGGCACGATTTTGGTACTGTTTTCGTTTTTTTTTGGTTGGGGGGATCTTTTTGGTGTCCTGTGCCTCGCGACACGTGCCTTCTCACACTCCTATGGCGACGTGGCCCTCGGAAGGGTCTTGCGTCCTCTCGTGTGTCCTGTCCGATCAAGCCCGACTGTAAGTCGGGCGTGCCCCCCTGCAGGGGGATCTTCGACGAAAAATTTAAGATACCCCAGAAATAGTCAAACAATGATCCAAACACAGTCTGGGGACTATGCTTTGAGTAATGTTTTTACCTTTTGGGGGTATGTTGGGGGTATTTGTTTCTCATTTTTCGTCGAAAATCCCCCTGTATGGGGGACAGGCCCGACTTAACAACCGTTAGTCGGAGGTTGATCGACCTCCTATCTTGACGCGTCGATTAAGGGATTGGCCGTTTTCGGTTCGCGAGAGGGCGTCGCGGCCGTCACTTTTGCGGGTCCAGGTCCGTCGGTTTCCGTCCTTGGCCGTTTTCACTAAGTGGAGGTTTACTAAAGGGAGGTTTGTCCGCCGCCGGGTCAAGTCGGGTACGTCCCTCTGCAGGAGGAATATCCCCCAAATAGTCAAACAATTCGTCGGGGCACGATTTTGGGACTATTTTCGTTTTTTCCTTGGTTGGGGGGATCTTTTTTTGAACTGAGGTGGATCGACCTCCTACCCTGACGCGTCGATTAAGGAATTGGCCGTCTTCGGTTCGCGAGAGGGCGTCGCGGCCGTCACTTTTGCGGGTCCAGGTCCGTCGGTTTCGGTCCTTGGCCGTTTTCACTAAGTGGAGGTTTACTAAATGGAGGTTTGTCCGCCGCCGGGTTAAGTCGGGTACGTCCCTCTGCAGGAGGAGTATCCCCCAAATAGTCAAACAAATCGCCGGGGCACGATTTTGGGACTATTTTAGTTTTTTTTTGGTTGGGGGGATCTTTTTTTTCAAACTGAGTATGATAGACCTCCTTTCCTGACGCGTCGATTAAGGGATTGGCCGTTTTCGGTTCGCGAGAGGGCGTCGCGGCCGTCACTTTTGCGGGTCCAGGTCCGTCGGTTTCGGTCCTTGGCCGTTTTCACTAAGTGGAGGTTTACTAAAGGGAGGTTTGTCCGCCGCCGAGTTAAGTCGGGCACGTCCCTCTGCAGGAGGAATACCCCCAAAATAGTCAAACAAATCGTCGGGGCACGATTTTGGATCTATTTTAGTTTTTTTTGTTGTTTGGGGGATCTCTTTTTTCAACTGAGTATGATAGACCTTCTACCCTGACGCGTCGACTAAAGAATTGGCCGTTTTCGGTTCGCGAGAGGGCGTCGCGGCCGTCACTTTTGCGGGTCCAGGTCCGTCGGGTTGGGTCTTAGGCCGTTTTCACGAAGGGGAGGTTTGCTAAAGGGAGGTTTGTCCGCCGCCGAGTCAAGTCGGGCACGTCCCTCTACATGAGGAATATCCCCAAAACAGCCCAGCAAATCGTCGGGGCACGATTTTGGGACCATTCTTTTTTTTTTCTGGTTGGGGGGATCTTCTTTATAAAGCTGTTTTTCACTGTTCGCCCAACATCCGCCTGCAGAGGGGGACACACCCGACCCAAAGGAGATGTGGAAGGCCACGTTCATCGAGGTGGGGGACGACGAGCGCCAGGGCTCGCTCAGCCCGCGGCCCCGCAGCGAGCCCTGCAGCGAGCCGCCCTCCCTCCGCGGCGCGTTCTTCGAGGCCGACCGCGTGCGCGTCGCTGCGCTGTCCCAGCGCATGGACGAGGTCTGGGCCTCGAACAGCCGGGCGACGATGCGGCAGCTCCTGTCCGCAGACCCGGTCCTCGAGCCCCTGGGCGAGGGCCACGGCAAAGCCGGCGGATGCGATCGCGCCGTCCAGTACGAGAGCGAGTCGACGGGGATCGGCTGGGGCAGCCTCTCGGAGTGCGGCACCTCCGACGCGGCTTCGGCTCGCGAGACCAGGCCCCCGGCGACGCCACGCTGCGATCTCGCCGTGGCTCCCGCGACGCAGCGCAGCGGGGACGCGGTGGGCAGGAGGGGTCACGAGAAGGTGATGTGGAAGGCCACGTTCATCGAGGTGGGTGGCGACGAGCGCCAGGGCTCGCTCAGTCCTCGGCCCTCCAGCGAGCCCTGCAGCGAGTCTGCCTCCTGCCGCGGCGAGTTCTTCGAGGCCGACCGCCTGCGCGCCTCTGCGCTGTCGCAGCACATGGAGGAGGCCTGGGCCTCGAACGATCGGGAGGCGATGAGGAGCAGCCTCCAGAAGCGGCGCATGTCTGCAGCCGCGGATGCCATCCACCTCCTGCCAGAGCAGCTGATCAACGTGGTGCAGACCAAGGCGGAGAGCCTCGCCGACAGCGTGAAGATCGACCTGTCCCTGGTGCAGAAGGCCATCCGCCGCAGCGGCGGGGACGGCGACGCCGTCGACGTGGCCATCGACCAGCTGGACAAGATCCCAGGGATCATCAGGAGCTCCTTCGACTCGAAGATCGTGGATGCGAACGAGGCGATACGGACGAAGCTGAGTGCCATCATGCAGAAGTTCAAGGGCCGTGCCCCTGAGAGTCAAGAAGTGGTGACGCAGCTGTGGACCATCCCAGAGGAGCTCGAGCAGATCACCTGGGAGGCGGTTGACAAGGCCGTGCAAGAGTCCCAGCGCGAGGCGGCTAGTTGTTGCGACCGCGTCTTGCGGAGCTTGCCAGAGGACGCGGGATCAAGCCGCCGGGCACTGAAAGACGCCAAATCTCAGATCGTGGAGTCGATGCCAGAGATGTACTCCGCGACGATGCGGGCCTTGAGGAGCACGACCAACGCGAACGTCAGGCACGCCGTTGCTTACGTGGACGACCCCAAGGACGTGCCTGTCACGAACCACTTAGTCGCAGACGTGCTTCTGAGGGCGAAGATGGGCACCCTGCCGCACACGAACGGCGCGTCCCTGTACCAGCCTAGCCACTGCGCGGCTAGCTTGCTGGACTGCGTGAACGACGCCGGGGGCGACGGCTTTCTGGCGAACCACCGCAGCCAGTGCCAGGCTTATGATGTTCCAGCCTGCTTCCAGCCTTGATCACCACAAAGAACTTCGTGCACCAAGAAAGTACAGAAACTCGAGGGGCTTCACGTGTCGGGCCCTGGGAGGCGATATCCTCGTTCGACGCCGCTTCGAGCATTTTTCTGGGTGCTCGAAACTCTTTCCGGGACGTGGGCCTTGAGAGTACGACGGGAACAGCATGCGTGGCAGGCCGGCCTCGCCTGCAGCGCCGCGTGCACCCGCCCGTCCAATCCCGGGAGCCTGGGCCACCCCGAGATGTGCGTCCGGCCGTGCCTCTACTTCTCGGGGGCGGAAAAGAGGGGGGTGATGACTAGGGGGGGGGGGATATCATGGCGCGGGCCATGATATTTCTCCAGATCTCATGGCGCCTCTTCTTATTTCATTACGTCCCATGCACCCCCGCTGGGCCGCGCACATGCCGCCGGTCATGATTTGCACCCCCCCCTCTTGGACACCCCCCTCTTGGCCGCTCCCGAACTTCTCGGGCCGGGCGAAAGGGGGGGATTGGAAAAGGGGGGGATTGCGAAATTTGCTGCATGCAGCCGGTCTCGGCCTCACCCAAGGGGCCCATTCCTCGATCCATGGCCGCCTCCGGCACAGGGAGGCGCCGGGAAAATCAGCTACGTGAGCTGATTCTCAAACCCCCCCTTTGCTATCTCCCCCTTTCGCCCGACCCGAACTTCGCGCGGGGCCAGTGCGCGAGCGGCGACGCGTGCAAGTTCTGCCACTGCCCGCACCCGACTCGGCCCGTGCACCTCGGGAGGTCGCACAGGAGTCGAAGAAGAAAAAAAACATAAATTTACACTTATCGCGCTCCGCACGGATTTCTTGGGACTTACACTTGCACTTACATTATCGCGCGCTAACCATTAACGCGCGCTAGCCACTTACGCTTTTCTTGGGATTTCTTATCGCGCGCTAACCATTAACTTACATTACGCTTATCGCGCTCCGCTGGGCCCCCCCGGCTGCGCCTCTGGCGCCGCCCCTGGCGCGCTCCGCCTCGCCAGCGAGGGGGGTCTCAGCGCAGGTCCAAGAAAAATCTGCGCGGAGCGCGAACAGTTGACGTTTATGTTTTTGTTGTTTCTCTTCTGAGGAAGGCTCTGGAGGCGACGACCGCGGCGGAGTGCTTCGGCATCTTGCTGCCCGTCCTCGAGAGGAAGATGCTCGCGCTGGGCCTGGCCACCGACGCGCTCCGGCTGCTGGCGGAGCAGCCGTGCGCCCGGCCGGGCGGGGCCCCCGCTGACGCCGGGGGCCAGGTCTCGGGGGCGGAAAAGATGGGGGTGATGACTAGGGGGGGGGATATCATGGCGGGGGTCATGATTTTTCCCCAGATTTCATGGCGCCTCTTCTTGTTTCATTACGTCCCTGGCCCCCCCGCTGGGCCGCGCACATGCCGCTGGTCATGATTTGCACCCCCCCCTCTTGGACACCCCCCTCTTGGCCGCTCCCGAAAACCAAGGCCCGGGACCTGCGGACCCTGGAGAAGGCCTTCGGAGCCCTGTCCATGCGGTCGCTGCTGGTGGTGCTGCAGAGGAAGGTCCTGGCATCGCTCGGACGTGTGCATGTTTCTCTCGGCGAGGGCCATCGAGGAGCATCCTGGATCATGTGGCGGAAAAACCACGCACGAAGCCGCAAAAAGCACGGGGAGTGGACGTCCGAGCGATGGCCAGAGGTCGGGACGCAGCGTTCGCGCGAGAAGGCCCTGCTGGACTCGCTGATTCAGGAGGTGCGCAGGGCGGGTTTCCTCGTGGACCTCGGGGAGGACATCCAGGAGGACGCTTGAGTTCGGCCGGCTCATTCTTGTCCTATTCCTGCTGTTCCCAACAGGCGCAGTGTCAGGCCTGAGGCTCAGAGGTCTGGAGGCGTTGGGGGTAAGCGCCAGCAGCGAGGCATCATGGGCCCAGCAGCGGCCAGGTGGCGCTCGCGCCGGGGCACTTTGTTTTTTTTCTCTGTGGCCGGGCTGTGAAGCTCTTGCTCTTCTCCCCGCCACCTCCCTCGCAGCACAGTCTGACGACTTCGCGATGGGCTCCACGGCGTCCGGTCGGTCTTCACCCCGCCGGGCTGCCACCAATTTGTCTCCAACCTCCGTGCCAACTGCCGGCGCCCCGCGTGGGGATGAGCTTTCCACGCGGACTACTCCTCGGAGAGGCCCAGGCGTGCGGCCGCCGGGGCGGTCAATCGGTCGATCCAGCAATCAGTCGAACATGCAACCCCGGGAGAGGACGGTGCCGCCAGGATCGACCTCGAACGCTCCTGCATCGCCGTGCTATCACTGTCTACCAAGCAGCGCGGCGCTTCACGGATATGTCCGTCTGTTGCTGCTCGAGCTGTTTTTTCTGCCCACTCTCCAGATGCCGTATGGTTTGTGAGTGAGAGCGTGGTTGAACATGTTTTTTTAAACCCTCTGGGCTATGACACGCGTTATGCCCCCCCCCTCCCTCCTCCCCCCCCACAACATGACGCCACCCCTCCCCCTTGCCTGGTGCGCCCCTGGCGCTGCCGCAGAGAGCGCGTGCAGCACAGTCTCGCAGCACGGTGCGGTCGCAGCGCCCGCGTCTCGCAGGCCATCTGTGGCGCTCGCAGTCTGTTTGCTATGGTAGCGCCCGCAGGCTGTTGTGGTGTTCATGGGCTAGTGTGGCGTTCGCAGGTCCGTTGACTGTGCACTTGCAGGTTGCGGCAAGCGGTAATCTGGCGCTGGCACGGCAGCAATAGGTGTAGTAGTGGCATTGGTGGCAGAACGGAGGGCATCGTCAGTAGATCCAGCAGTGGTAGCAAGGTTTGGAGGAGGAGAGAGGGTTGAGGGGGACGGGGTGGGAGTAGTCGTCATAATCGTCGTCGTGTTCGTCTTGAGCTTGTGATTATAGCTGAAAT